TATGAACATTTTACACAATAATATTGAAAGATAGGGACGTTTTGGACTAATTACCATTTTAATAATTTATTTAGACTCACTTGCACTTTTTAAAAGTTGGGGAGTATATTGTAATTTGTTATTTAATTTTTCTTTTTTTTTGTTTTATTTAAATATAAGGGTATATTTGTCATTTTACATGAAAAACTGAATGAAAATGATAATTTTCATAATGAAAGGTGAATATAGTAATGAAGATATTAAAAAATGATAGTGAATGTTTTAAACAATAATATTAAAAAGTAAGGTAGTCTTATGCTAATTATCCGTGATATAACGTAGGGACGTGGTAATTACCAATAAAAATTTCATCATCATTATTGTCATCTCAACCCAACCAACCCAATCCAGTGAACCCACCCTCGCCCATTCCCCCCGACCTTTTAATATATACTCTGGCGTCACTAGTCAACTACAGTCTGATTGTGATCCTGTTACTGTTGGATATCTATGGCAAGCAGCTTGAGGAGATGTAATTTGGGGTTAATCTTATCAAGATTTCAAAGTATTAGTGGTAGAAGTAGTAACGGAGGGACAAGGTTGAGGAGATTGTCCACGGCTATGATCAGTGAGGAACGGGTGAGTCCCTATTCTGAAGGAGCCGGGAACAAGTCCATAAATCTCTTCTCTGCCATCAATCAAGCCCTTCACATTGCCTTAGAAACTGACTCGCGGTATGCCTGTATTGTCTCTTGTCATCGTGCACAATACTGATTTATTTTTATATATTTGTTTTCGAACTGATATTGATTAAATTTTCACTGCCGCTGGAGTTTTATGTTGGTATGTAATTAACAGTTAAATGCCCTTTTCAGCTTAATCAGTGGATTCTTTATTTTTGTTTTTATTTTTATTTCTATTATGTGAAATATACAGAACTCCAGAAAGGCAAGCCTTGTTAGTTTAACTCAGTAATTTCAAATTGCTGGATACCTGCGGTCAACTTGTTCCTTTGCTTATTTGTGTAATATTTCTTTAGTGCTTGTGTATTTGGAGGTCAACTTTTTCCTTTGCTTATTTGTATAATGTTTCTTTAGTGCTTATGTATTTGGAGAAGATGTTGGTTTTGGAGGAGTTTTTCGTTGCACCACTGGATTATCTGATCGATTTGGCAAACAGCGAGTTTTCAATACTCCTCTTTGCGAGCAGGTAATTATTAGTTATGCAAGTCAAAAACATTTTATTTTGTGTGTGATTCCAAATGGAAGGCAGTAAAATCTCCTCGAGAATATGGAAACAGATAAGCCACTAATATGATATGGTATGCATTTGTTACTTATAAATAGACAAATGGAAGTAGGTTTTACTATGCCAAATTCTATATAGTTTGCATTTTTCAGTTAGACATGTCTTTGGAAGAAAGTTCATTTAGTGATATGAATTGTACTAGCAGGGCATTGTTGGATTTGCAGTTGGTCTGGCAGCAATGGTGGGCACTGGATTTATTGCCTTCAAGCTTCCAAACTAAAACCTTAAACCCCGATTTTTTAGTTGTAATTACCATGTATTTAGAATTACCGTTACTTTTGTGCCGTCTCAAATTACAGGGGAATCGAGCGATAGCTGAAATTCAGTTTGCAGATTATATTTTTCCTGCTTTTGATCAGGCTCGTGTCTTATCCTTTTGCATTTCCACAACCACAAATTTACATTTGTTTGACAAATGTCTATTATAATCTTAGATTGTCAATGAGGCTGCCAAGTTCAGATACCGGAGTGGCAATCAATTTAACTGTGGAGGTATTTATGGGGGATCCTATACTGGATTTTCTACTCTGTGTTTTTATCTTCTCTTTTCATGTTCTAAAATGCTCATTTTTCTCAGGTTTGACAATTAGAGCACCTTATGGAGCTGTGGGCCATGGAGGACATTACCATTCACAATCCCCTGAAGCTTTTTTCTGTCACGTCCCTGGTATTAAGGTGTATCTCCTATTGAATCTTGTATGATGACTCATTCATGTATTTTCCTGCACATCTTGCAGTTGAATTTCTGTTGATTCTAGCAGATCATAGAGTGAGAAAATAGAGAAAAGTGAAAAAGAACAACATGACGTCATTTATTTATTCATTTTTTAAATAAAGCATTTGTTGTATACTAGTCTCAATGTGTGGAATACTCAACTTTGTTTCTGTACAGATGAAAAAAATTTCCTTTATGAATAAAGTTTTCAGTATTTAACATCTTACGTACACTGACTAATCAAGTGGTTTCCATACAAATAAAAATTTCCCTTTATGAATCCTACTGAAGAAGTGGAAGCAATGACATAGGATGTCTTCTGAAGTTAATGATTTTGTGCAGCTATACCCCCTATCCCCAATAAGTTCTATAAACAAGCATTCTGACCAAGTGTAGTGAGTCGATGACAGTTTCTTTACATCTTAAATTGCATTTCTTTTTGGCTACCAGATCCGTGCTTATTGTTCATGATTATATCTGTACTTTCATCTAATTTGCTTGTTTATAGGTGGTTATCCCACGAAGTCCCCAACAGGCAAAAGGGTTGTTATTATCTTCTATCCGTGACCCAAATCCAGTTGTGTTTTTTGAACCAAAGGTATTCCTTTGCTTCTTACCTTAAATCGGCATAAAATCATCAACATAAGTTATATCATTAAGCATGCCTTCAATTGCTCTCAGTGGCTTTACCGTCTGGCTGTGGAAGAGGTTCCAGAAAATGACTACATGTTGCCATTATCAGAGGCTGAGGTATGCTATTTCTGTCTTAGTTAATAAATAATTTTACATTTAAATATATTGCACACTCAAATTTCAGGTGATACGAGAAGGTAGTGATATAACTCTTGTTGGCTGGGGTGCTCAGCTGTCAGTTATGGAACAGGCATGTGTTGAAGCTGAAAAGGTTGATAGTTCTCCATGCTAAACTATCCATAGATGCTTAATTTTCATTATTTTATTATGTCTTAGTAAGGTAGTAGAGAAGCTTTACCACTTTGCTCCACTTCAAAACTGTTAGAAATTGGTTGGTGACTGTTGGAAATTGGTACCTGTTCAAGATGATTTATTTTATTTTATTTTATTATATTTTATTTTATTTTATCAGTGTTCATTCAGAATTATTTAAAAACTGAATTAACTCCAGCACTCATTGTTGAATCTAAAATTCATTTTATCCATATTTCCTTATGAAAATGATATCTTTAAGTATAATATCTTATTACCTTATCCTGAATTGCATCATAATTTTGAAGGATGGGATCTCTTGTGAACTGATTGACCTAAAGACTCTGATACCGTGGGACAAGGAAAAAATAGAGTCCTCTGTTAATAAAACAGGAAGGCTTCTGGTCAGTATTATTACTTAACACAAAATATGTTCTACATCGAGTGGCTTTAATCCTTGACGGATTTGATTCTTCTTGTTCCTAGGTTAGTCATGAAGCTCCAATAACGGGTGGATTTGGTGCTGAAATTTCTGCCTCTATCACAGAACGTTGCTTTTTGAGGGTACTCAGCTGATATCGATCCTTATTCTTTGTTTTAAATCTGCTTTTTCTTTCCTTGATTATTCTTATCAATTGATTGAATCAGTGGCCAATCAGGACACAGGTTACGCCAAAGATCTACAGATATTGCCTTGATTTCCTAATCATTGTATTTTTAACCTTCACACTTAGATCTAGTGAGCTCAATAGTTAATATTCCAGAATCTGCTCTATATGTTCTCATATTTCGCACTCACTAAGTCATTGGAAAAATGTAAAACGGAACTACAGTTGGAAAGTCAACAGCCATTTATAGCGTTGAAACCTATCTGAAATCACCTTACTCCCAATGCCAGAGGGGACCACAAACTAACAATTAACCAGTAATACATTACATTTAAGGGAGAAATCACTTTCTTGCCACGCACCACCTACCCTTCATCTGTTTATCACTACCCTTGTTTGGTAAGAATTCCTTCTTGTTTGGGTAAACAATGACTTCTTGTATCCACTGGAGTGCATTTTTACGCTATTCGTTTCTAGGCAAAATTAGGGAAGAGATAAATAGGTAAAATTGTAAAAAGTGATGCATAGGACTCTTCAATTTCAGACTAGTGCCATATATGCTGCATCGCTCGACTCAAGCCTTCCATTTATGTCTTAACTTTTTGGCACTATTTAGCTTTATTGGAAATTATTTTATACATGAACTGTTGATACGTGAAAGGTTCATCTTGTTTGAAGCTAATCGCGATTTTAGTTATAATAGAACTTGACATATTTGGTGTGTCACTGACATTCATTATCCAGTCTCCAATTAATAAAAATTCTTACAAATGCAGATTATATTTCTCTACAAGGACATTATAGAGGCAAAGAAAGGATGAATAAGATGAATAGATAAATTTGAGTTAGTTATTAGCTCATTTGATACAAGGTAAATAAATAATCATCGAAGCAAACAGGACTAACCTTGCTATTGAATATTCATCAATCCTTTTTGAAAATGAACTGTAAAAGACAAATTGAACTTATTATTTTTTGAATGTATCAGCAAATTACAACTGAGTCTTGCATATCTGGCAGATCCTATAGAATGAAGAAAATTTTAACAATTTTGATATAACATTACAATGAAGATTGATTGAGATATTAGATGACTCAAGTGAAATTACCATAAAAATCCAGATAGTTGCCTAGTCAGAAAGAAAGAGCTTTTCATAACCATTACTGCTAGCTATTCATAATCACTGCAGAAGAGCAATTCTCATGCAGTAGTACTGGCAGTGCACAGCCAGAAGGCCTCCCTTGTCACTATCACATCAAGCTTTATTAGTTGCAGGGGCTGCAATTACAGTCCTTAGCCTTTGCCATACAAGCATGCTTGTGCTCCATAGTTCAATCTTGCCCTCTTAGTGTTCCCTCCGGATGTAGTACAAGCCTAGAGAAGGATAGCTACAGCTGTTGTTGCACACAACACCTCTTCCCTCATGTCAACCATTTTGACCTCACAGTTCCTATCGATTTATATCACATTAATAGTCTGATATAAGTTATTCAACTTTAGTACCTGAGTTGTTGATTCCTTTTTAGTTTTCTGTTCTCAAGAAACTCTAGTTGATCTATTGGGTTGCTTATCTTAAGAGCTTGATTTTAACTGTTTTGTAGCTAGAAGCTCCAGTAGCTAGAGTATGTGGCCTCGATACTCCTTTTCCTCTTGTTTTTGAACCATTCTATCTGCCTACCAAGAACAAGGTTAGTCATCTATTGTTGCTCATTTGCGAGAACTGTCCCATTAGTGCTCGCAGATTGATGATCCTTTCTTGCTTAACAGATACTGGATGCAATCAAATCTACAGTAAATTATTAGTGTGTTGGCATCTTTGCTTCTTCAGAAATGTGCACAAAAAGGGTTCTTTGTACTCCACCCATGTTTATGCTTTCATTGTTACAGCTCTAGCTATGACAAGAGCAACCTATTTCATCAGCACAGACTGTTGAAAAAATCATGTGTGGATCTAGGCATTTAATGCCGTAAAGAATTAATGACATTCTAGCTAGTGTGGTTTAAATATTTGATTTTCATCGATTGTCTTATTCTAATGGATGCTTCTCCTTAAATGTGTATGTGGCCCTTGTTATGTGTCGGTTAGACCGTTGTGTTGCAAAATAAAATTGTGTTGAGCCTTTGCTAATTTGCTATTGATACCACTGGTTATTTTGTGGTGAACAAGGCAACCGCAGACTGAAAAGATTCAAAGTTACCTTCATAACGAGTTTGCCAGGAAAAAGTAATACTGGACTCTCCTTTCTACTCTTGGGATCTGAGCTCACAATTTTAAGATTACAAAAAGCTTGTCTTAGATTAGAATTACACAGTTCTTCCTCACCTATTGGACACTACCATACTGAAGCACAAACTCTTGTATGGATATCATACCAAATTGTGTCATGACTGTGTAGCTTTCCTAAAGCACAGCCATTATAAAATGACAGAACGAGGTTTCTTGTTCTACCAGTAAAATACCAATGTTGGAAAGAATTCAAGGGAGTCATGCATGTTAATTGTATATCAAATTTGTGAGTAGTATTCATCTTGTGCTTTTGCTTCTAGTTTACAATGTGGGGAATGAAGGCTCAAGCATCGCAAAAATTACTTTTGGACTCTATAAAGTTTATATTCTACCCTGTAATTTATTTATGCTGCTTTTTTATATTACACACACACCTTATCCATAGAAAATCAGAACCATTCCTTTTCTATTGAACGAGGTGATATGCATTTACAATAACTATTGAACAACAGCGTGATGCTAACAGCCAAAATTCCAAAAAAATATCCCATCCCAAAAGGAAGATTATACCATGAACTTTGATATTCTTCCTCGGGCGTTTTATCAACTAGCGTAATTACTGGGCAGCTTCTTCGTAGAGTGTACCTACAAAGTTTAGGATTCCCTCGAAGAGGCAGGGAATGTATCAAATTGTCCACCTCTCCTTGAAATTTCGCCTTGTAGATCATAGTTAGCAATGCTGAANATTTGTATTGGGATATTGCCACTGAGATTGTTATTTCCAAGTTTTATTCATCTTGGCAAGTTAAAAAGATGATTATATTGGAAACAGTAGCATTACCAACCAACGATGCTAAGGTAGTGATTTGGTTCTTAAAGAAGTATATTTTTACTCGTTATGGCACACCTTGAGCTATTATAAGGGATGGGGACAAACGCTTGTGCGATCGTCAATTTGAGTCGTTGGCATCGTATAGCTACCTCTTATCACCACCAAACCAATGGGTAAGTTGAAATCTCCAATAGGGAATTAAAGCAAATACTTGAGGTAACAGTGAGTTATTCGAGAAATAATTGCTCTAAAAGCTTGACGTTTTTTTGTGAACTTACAGAACAGCTTTCAAAACACCAATAGGCATATCTTCTCATTGTCCGATTTTTGGTGAAAAGAGGTCACTTCAATTGAATGAAAGGGATGAGTTTTGACTGGAAGCTTACGAAATTTAAAGTTTTACTAAGAGCATACCAAAAAGTAGCATGACATGCATATTCATAGAAGTAAGTTTGAGGTAGGGCAAAAAGTCTTGTTATATGACTCAAGACTCAAGCTTTTTTTGGGTAAGTTGATGTTAAGGTGGCCGGGTCGATACATAGTTACCAAGGTATTTCTATATGGGGCTGTAGATGTCATTCATGAAACTAAGTGGACTTTTAAAGTTAATGGACAGTAGCTGAAGCCTCATTGGAATGGTGAATTCTCAACGAAAAAGTCCACCGTTCATATTGGAACACCGAAGTGAATCAACCATTGTAAAGTCGAGTTACAAACTATAAACAATCTTTTGTTGGGAGGTAACCTAACGTTTCTTCCTTTTAATTTATTTCGATTCATGTGTTAGATTATGAGTTTTTTCCTTTGTTGCTATTTTGTGGTTGTACTGGGGCATTCATCATCCATATAGGTCACAAAAGAGTCTATGCATGACCCAAACTAATTTTAAATGTGTTTTGCATGAGTTATGAGATGTCAAAATCACGCTTGGTTTATTCAGTGTTAAAATCACACATTTCGAGGCAAACAAAAATACTTTTATAAGCTTTCCCGAATAAACAATGTTTTCAAGTTTAAAAGTGATTTGGGAACCAAATTCATGGTATACGTGTATCCTATGCAGTTTAAAATATGTTTTGACACATTTAGGAGGTGGTAGAAAGTCGGTTTAAGCCAAAAAAAAAAAAAAAATTTTGGAAAATTTGACCAAAACGAGTTTTTGAGATGTGTTAGTTTTAAATTTTTTTTTCACGTTACATATGCTCCTTACACTCATTTAAACTTATTGGGAACAAAAATCGAGGTCCAAAAGATCAAGGATGATTGAGTGACCGAAAAATTTTGAACTAGGGCAAATTCCACCTTTTGGTAGTCTATGCAATCGCATAGAACTACTAGAGCTGTGATTGCACCATAGGCATCAGAACATATTATTGATATTTTGATATGCTCTATACGACCACACGCCCTTACACTATGCGGTTGAATAGAGCTCCTCGATAGCACCATTTAAAATGTAAAAACCCACGTATTAATTTACGTTTTCATTTAGTGTGAGAAGTCATCAACAATGGACACAAAAACATCAAATCTCAAATTGACACACAAAGGCTTGACATGGTTAGGCACAAGTAACCTCAAGTCCCTCACTTTGTCCCTCGATTTTGTAACTCATACAAAGTCCATTGGACCTCAAATTTGAATATCTGAAGAACAATATGAACTCTTTTATATGCACAGAGACTGCTTGGAAACATTTCAATTTTTCTCGACGCTACCCAAAGGTGGAATTCCTTGGTCGATCATAGGTCACAATGGAGAATTTGCATTACTTGAGTTCATTTCAAGTTTGTGAGCCACACTTTAACTATTATATATTTTTTTTGAGATAATAACCCTATTTCTTTACACATTTCATCAAACATGACATTGTTTCGTCACCTTATGCTTTGTTTGGTTTCTTTACTTGAATTCATTGAGTGCGAGGTTTGTATGCCTACGTTTTGAAATTAGTTTGGCAAATTTAGACTAGTGACATAGCATTCATGTTTGCATCACAGATGGACTAATTCTTAAATTTTCTTGTTTACAAGATGCCTCTTAAGCAAAGTGCTAAAGGCAAGGAGAAAATTGCCTCCACTTCCGGTACTATAGATACCCGAGGACCTGAAGAGGGTATAAAGACGTTTTTAGATCAAGAGGCTACATCTAAATACTTCGATACAGTTAGCCATTGAGTATTACTCGCAAAGAGGCTAGTAAAACTCGAAGATTTTTTGATATTTGAGTTGGTTAACTCTAGTTCAGTACTGTGGATGGGACAAGATGGTTGAGAGACCTCACCCAGTGTATGATGTACTAGTTCGGGAATTTTATGCAAATTTCAATAGTGATATAGACACCCCAAGGTCAGAGCATCAACATTTCCATTGGAATGAGGTAGGGGAGGTGCTGCTTTGGAGAGAGAATGCTTGGCCACTACAGACTGATGAGTGGCTTCAGATTGAGCTTGTAGCTTTAATAGTTATCTTATGGTTGCCACAACATTGAGCTGACAACACATCGAACCACATTCAATGATCCTAAGGTTGGATTCATCGACCATTTAGTGAGGGGTAAGAAGATTGACTTGGCGACTTTTATTTATGAGCTGATATACTCTCAAGAAATTTGGGGGATTGACATCATTTCTTGATATTACCGGGTCTAATCAGCAGGATCTGCAAAAGTTGGATGTGACTATCCTATCTAATAAACTTCTCGAGAGACCCAGTGCTTTTATGAAGCGTACTACATTAGAAGTTCGGGATAGAACTCTGGAGAAACTTAAAGAAGGATTACAGAAAGAGCGCCTTTGACAGCAACCGACTGTGTGGGGTCAAGAAGTCGACAACGTTGAGATGCCTTAGGCGACACCACCACAACCAATGGATGTCAATACACAATTGCTACAATAGATGTTTGCGATTACTATTGGCGCCAATCGAGATATTCAGTCTTTAGTAAGCTTTTGGGGCCATCATGGAAGCCAATATCCAGAAAGTGTGGGGTTGTATAAGTATCGCTAGAAATTTTACGACCATTGGTAGTAGAGTCCTTGGCTGCGAAGAGAAAAATAGGGACCTTGAATGGATGGCTAAGTACATATGTCGGCGCATTGATGGGGTCTAGTTAAAAGTCAAATGAGACATAGGACCGATTAGGCAGCATCGAGACTTAGGTTCGAGAGTAGTCTACACTGATTCAGATTAAGCATGGGTAGCTTGATGAGGGTTTTGAGATGATGAGGGGCTTATAGGCCAAACTAGCCCAGCAGTCCGAGTTGATGGGATAGATTTTTGCATAGATGCTTATCCGAAGTTGGCACATTAAGCTTGGGTTTCTTGTAACGCCCCGACCCCTAGTGGACCAGAACGCTATTACTTTACTTAGCTTAACCGGTGGTTTAGTAACAAGTGTATACGTTTTACTGGAAGCTTACATCTTCGGATAATAATTTAAATAACAATATTTCAAATACTTTAAACAAAAACACTGAATCNTGAGTTGAAAAACTCAATAGGTGTCATAGGTGCATTCATGATCAAGTTATACATTTCAAAATATTAACTTTATAACTTTTCATACATGCCGTACCCGGAGGCACCATTTGACATGAAGGGGTATGCCGTACCCGAGGGCACCATTTGACATACGAACATTTCTTCAACATAGGGGGGTATGACGTACTAGAGTACCATTTGACATACAACCATTAACATAGAGGGATATGCCGTACCGGAGTACCATTTGACATACAAACATTAACATGAATCGAAACTTATAACTTAATACAATTAAACACATTGTACCTCTACCTACCTTGATTAATGCTTTTAAAACTTTGAAAACTTGAATTGAAAATTTCGATGAAACTTGGACGTTGAAAGAAATGCACTTCTTGGATGTTTGAAAATCGTTGAGAATTGATGCTTGAAGACACTCCTTGATAGCACCCAAAACTTCTATGAAAAATGCTTGAAAATACTTCTTAAACTTCTAGGAAAAATAATTTT